CTAGTATGTTTACTTGGGCTGTTATTGAAAAGACTCCTTTATCTACTAAGTTATGCTTGTACTTTAAAAATGGAGTTCGGTTAAACTATAAAGCAACATAACTTTAAAAGAGTTTTTGAAATGTTTTGATCACTTATAAAAGACATAAGCATTCTTTTGAAAAATGTTTATAACAAACATTTACACAATTATCATTGTGTTCAACTTGTATTCCCCCCCTTAAAAGCATTTAAAACAGTTAAAAGATTCATTATGGGGTATGAACTCACCTGATGTGGGTGATTCAAACGAATGTGTGTAAGGATGAGAAGTTCCTCGGATGAAGTCCCGAGACTTAACGAATCCTAAATGACATATAATGGCACGTAATGACATAAATATAGTGTTTGGAAGCAACCAAATGCAAGGAAACACCTCACGGGACTAGGAAACACTTTGACCAAGTGTTGGAATCACATGTGATTCAACTAAAGGATGTTTAAGGCCAAGAAAAGGTGTTTACGGCCACACCATAAACCCAATGGAGTTTACGGCCAAGGTGTAAACTCATGGTAAAGTGTGCATAAGAGGGTGTTTGAATGCTAGGGAAACTTGAGGGACCATTGCTCTACACAAGGATGAGAAAAACCAACTTAATGGAGGGTGTTGAGGTGTTTACGGCCACACCATAAACCCTATGGTCGTAAACTCTCCAAATGGTCTCATCTTGGGTCATAAAGGCAAGGAGTTTCAAAGGTTCAAGTGTTCTAAGGGTTGGCGAGGGTCTAGAAGTGTTTAAGGCTCAAAACACGACACTTATAAGGGTTTACGGCCAGGGTGTAAACTCATGGCCGTAAACTCTCTTTGATGATGATTTTGATGAAGTTTAAGTCTATGATCTAGTGTTTAACATGTACTACTAGATGATAGATGGAATACTCACACTTTGGAGTGTCTTTGAGGAGTTTTCGGCCACCAAGAACAAGTGTGTGTTCTTGGTGTTCTTGGTGAAACTTGAAGATCTAAGAAAAGTTGATTTCCATGGATGAAATCAAAGAGTGTAACTAGGAGATGAAGTGTAACAACAAATCAAGTAAAAAACACTTATGTTTTTTATGATCTAAGATGATGAACTCGATGATACTTGAGAGAGAAAACTCGAGTTCTTGGGGTTGGAATGTAAGAAATGGCTAGAAGTGATCAAGAGCCATATATATGGTCTTCAGTTTACGGCTAAGGTGTAAACTCTATGAGTTTACGGCCAGGGTGTAAACTCATGGACATTGTGGCCGTGAACTCCTTAGGATGAGGTTAAGGCTTGATTTGTTGTACCGTGGCTTTAGCAGGTACTTCCTAACACTTATTCCTTAAGTGTACTAGGCTTAAAACTCCTTAGAATGACCTTTAACAAGGCTAGAACTCATTACCAATGAGTCTGACACTCAGTTGAGTTGACTGACTGAGCTTTCAAAGCAAAAAAAAATTCGGGTTGTCACAATTTGCAATTGGATTACGGCACCCCTCTACCGAATTGTAAATTATAGTGTTGAGTCCTAGCCTTAATATTTCATTTGGGTGTTATATTAAGGATTGCTTATCTAATCTAAACTTTGTTCCTGTTCTTTTTTAGATGTCTGGCTCAAACAACGCTTCCGGTTCGAACTCCAACTCCTCAAGCTCCTTTTCTATTTTGAACATTTGTGGGAGGGTCACTTTTGATGGTCCAATTTCAATGATTGGATCTGCAACATTCACATGGTCCTTCGATACGAGGAGAAAAACTATGTCCTCGACGAAAAGCTCAAAGAGATAGATGAAACCAAAGCTTATGCTGAAGAAATATCTGAGTATAGGGCTCACGAAAAAGACGCGACAAAGGTTTCGTGTATAATGGTAGCCACTATGACTCTTAAGCTCCAGCGGTTCTACGAGGACTACTGGCCTAACGAGATGTGCCAAGATTTGATGGAAAAGTACCATCAAAGTGCGCGTCAAGAAAGGTACGAGATTGTTGCCTCGTTGATAACGACCAAGATGAAAGATGGAGAGTCCATCACGAGCCACTTGCAAAGGATGCAAATGTATGTGGATCGGTTGCTCAAGTTGAATGTCAACTTTGACGAAGAGTTGGCGATTAATATCATTCTCCACTCTTTACCTCCTTGTTATGATCAGTTCAAGATGACTTATCATATGAACAAGGAGGAAATCACCTTGAGCAAGCTTCAAGGTTTGTTGAGAACTGCTGAAAGTGGACTAAAAGGCAAAGCTGTCGAGTCCACCCCTACTGCTGTTGCCCCCGTCCTCACTATAGGACATGGAAAAGGGAAGAAGAGGAAAGCTCCCTCTAAGAGCCACAAGGGAAAGTCCCATGATGGATCTACTTCAAATGGATCCAAAAGTAAAACCGGTTCTGCAACTCCCTCATCTGATCCTAAAGAAGCAACGTGCTTCTACTGTAACGACAAGAGGCATTGGAAACGATGCTGCCCGAAATACTTGCAGGACATCAAGGATGGGAAGATAAAGCCCTCCTTCGCAGGTATTTATACTATTCAATCTAATAACTCATAACATGCTAGTTCTTGGGTCCTTGATACAGGATGTGGTTTTCACATTTGCTCTGATTTGCAGGGGCTAAGAAGAAGTAGGGATGTGGAGCATGGGGAGATGAACCTGATAATGGGGAATAGGAAATCGTTGCCTGTCACCAAGATCGGGATTTACTCTTTAGTGCTTAGTAGTGGGTTAGGTTTAGAGTTGAATGATTGTTGTTACTCGTCTGAAATGACGAGGAATATTATTTCTTTTAATGGTTTGTACAAACAAGGTTTTAAATTTTCATTTAATAATGAAATTGGTTCTATTAATGCTTTCTATAATGGTACTTTATATTTTGAAGCATTGCCTTGTGATGGTGTATATGAAACTGTGATGGTTGTAGACAACTTAGGAAATAATGTGTTACATATCGATTCGTCTAATGGTTTAGACAAGGCATGCTTGTGGCATTGTCGTCTTGGAAATGTCAACAAGAAGCGCATAGCCCAACTCCAAAAGGATGAAGTCTTGGAGTCATTTGACCAAAAGTCGGATGACACGTGCAAATCTTGTTTACTTGGAAAGATGACTAAATCACCTTTCACTGGCACTTGTGAAAGAGGTGAGGGATTGTTGGATCTCATACAAACCAATGTGTGTGGGCCCTTCATATCCACCACAAGGGATGCTAACCACTTCTATGTTATGTTCACCGAAAATTATAGCAGATATGGGCATATCTACTTAATCAAGCACATGTCGGAAACCTTTGAAAAGTTCAAAGAGTTTAAAAAATAAGTGGAGAATCAATTGGGCATGAAGATAAAGATGCTCAGATCCGATAGGGGTGGTGAGTATCTTAGTATCAAGTTCCACGACTATCTTAAGGAATGTGGAATTGTTTCACAATTGACACCGCCTAGGACACCGCAGCTCAATGGTGTGGCTGAGAGGCGCAATCGAACCTTGTTGGACATGGTTCGTTCCATGATGAGTCGAGCTTCGTTACCTATCTCATTTTGGGGGTATGCCTTAGAGACTGCCGCCCATATCATTAATCTAGTCCCAACTAAGGAGGTTGCCAAAACACCTCACAAGATGTGGACATGGAAGGTTCCCTCGTTAGCACATATCAAGGTTTGGGGTTGCGAGGCTTTCGTAAGACGAGAGACTCACGACAAGCTTGAACCTTGTAGTGAGCGATGTATTTTCATCGGTTACCGACATAAATTCTTTGGATATATTTTCTACAGACCTAGTGACAACGTGGTCTTCGTAGAAAGGAGAGGGGTTTTCCGCGAAAGAGAACTCATATGCCAAGAGGACAGTGGGAGGCAAATTGATCTTGAAGAGCTTCAAGAGTCAAGCGATGAAGGAACCTCTAACACTAGCGCTCAACTTGAGGAAGAGATTCATGTTGAACCGATTGACGAGTCCTTACCTCTAAGACGTTCCAGTAGAGTTAGATTTCCACCTGTGTTGTATAGTTTCCATATAACTGTTGAAGGTGATACGTTTATCAATGATAGTGCACTGATAAATTTGGATGAACCTAACAACTACAAGGAAGCCATGGCAGGCCCGGAGTCTGCAAAATGGAAAGAGGCAATGGACAACGAGATTCAGTCCATGTATGACAATCAAGTTTGGAACTTGGTTGAAAATGTACCGGGTCGTAATACGGTCGGGTGCAAATGGATCTTCAAGAAGAAGATCGAAATGGATGGGAAAGTGTATACGTTCAAGGCACGGCTGGTTGCGAAGGGCTTTACTCAAACCCTCGGGGTTGACTATGATGAGACCTTCTCACCAGTAGCCAAGATCAAGTCTATTACGTTCATGTTAGCTATCGTTGCATTTCATGATTATGAAATTTGGTAGATGGATGTCAAAACCGCTTTCCTTAATGGGAAGCTGGCTGAAGATGTTTACATGTGTCAGCCAGAGGGTTTTGTGGATGCTAAATATCCCAATAGAGTGTGCAAGCTTAAGAAATCCATTTATGGATTAAAACAAGCATCTCGTAGATGGAATCTTTGTTTCGATGAGAAAGTCAAAGAGTTTTGATTTTCGAGAAGCAAGGACGAGTCCTATGTGTATGTCAAGGCTAGTGGGAGTATAGTTAGCTTTCTAGTTTTGTATGTTAATGACATACTACTCATAGGAAACGACATCCTGACCTTGTAGGAGGTTTAGTCCTGGCTTGGGAAGTGTTTTGCTATGAAGGATCTAGGAGAAGCTGCTTATATTCTAGGGATAAGGATTTTGAGAAATAGAAGTAGGAGACTACTATGACTTAGTCAAAGTACTTACTTGGACAAAGTGCTGAAACGTTTTAGCATGGAGAATTCCAAGAAAGGGGAACTGCCAATCCAAAGCAATACCAAGATGAGTAAGACTCAGAGTCCGAGTACCGATACCAAGATAGCGGAAATGAGTCGAGTGTTATATGCTTCCGCCGTTGGCTTAATCATGTAGCTATGACATGTACTCGCCCTGATGTGGCTTTTGCATTGAGCATGGTTAGCCGATATCAAGGGAACCCGGGTAGAGCTCTTTGGACTGCAGTAAAGAACATTCTTAAGTATCTGCGAAGAACTAAGGACTGGGTCCTTACACTTGGTGGGAGTGATGACTTGAGAGTGACAGGGTGTAGTGACGTCAGCTTTCAGACCGACAGAGATAACTTCCGCTCTCAGTCGGGCTGGGTATTTACCCTAAATGGAGGAGCCGTTACTTGGAAAAGTTCCAAGCAGGAGACCGTGGCTGATTCAAAGTGTGAATCAGAGTACATAGCAGTGAGCGAAGCGTTCAAGGATGCAATATGGTTGAAGAACTTCATTGGAGACCTTGGAGTTGTACCAGCCATAAAGGATCCTATGGAAATTTTCTATGATAACAAAGGAGTGGTTGCCTTAACCAAAGAACCAAGGGATCATGGTAGATCCAGACACATCGATAGAAAATACCACTTCATCAAACACCGGGTAGAAGAGGGATTCCTCGTAGTCAAGAGGGTATCGTCAGAGGAGAAGCCAACAGATCCTCTTACAAAGGGTCTGAGCAAGGTTAAGCACTTACAGCATGCGTGGAGCATTGGTCTGAATGACGATATTAGTCTTAGTGATTAGATAGATGTTTAGAAACTTTTAATATATAAATGTAATTGACATTTGATGATTAAGTAATGGAGATTTATTTATGAGTAAAGTTTACTATCTTGTGTCGATTGTTTACTATTGTTTCATTTTTGCATGTTTTACTTCCAGAATAATTAGATTGTTCAAATTATCCACAGTCGATCATACTTTGGAAGTAAGTTATGAGGTTAGACTGTCATGTATTGGTTTGTAGATTGTCTAAGTGCTTAGACATAGCAAAAGTTTGCTGCAACGTTCATGGGTACTTCTGATATAAGATTTGAGTATTGGATTAAACCCACACTCATTTGAATCACTTCATGGAATTTATCAAGAGTGATTGTGAGACGATAATATCGTATAATTTTTAAACCGAGATATATGAGTTGTTGTTTACAAGTCGGTTGTGCATTGATAATACGTAAACGCATCAGTAACTTGATGTTATAAAACGTGTTGTTGTGTATGATCTAACGAGTAAATAGTACAAACATATAAGTCAAAGTTTATTTGTTCCTTTTATCCTAAGAGGGTAAAAGCGATATCTTGAGCCCCTCGATGATTTTGTGTTGAATTATGTGTCGGGACCGGTCAGGACTGAATTGATGTGTTTAATTAAGTTCTATGTCAAACAAATCAGAAATCGGGAAACAAACTGTTGGACATTGAGAATGATTATGTTCCATGTCTTTGTCCACACGATATCTTGCAGAACGGAGGATTATATGATCACTTATCTAAAGGACGCGTCATTGACTAGGTCAAGAGTTCGACAACGACTTTTGAGATCTACGATTGCTAATCGGATTTTGTAGTTGTACTTGCAATTATAGTTATTAGACTTATCCAAGTGGGAGACTGTTGGATTAGGTGTCTAAGCACATAACTATAATTCGTATGTACTTGACCCGATAGTAGCATGGTCCTTTTGGGTTTCCTTCACCATAGCAATATGATAGGATGAGTTTTGGAGAAAGAGGTTAATTCATGATTTATTAATATATTAATTGAGAAATCATATTATTTAATTAGTATTGATCAGAAATTAATTTGGAAGTAATTTAGTGATCAATAGAGACTGATTAAAAGAACGGGGACTGATTATGTAAATCAGTAATCATTGTAGTTTGGGCTAATGGATCCTATTGGTGTAGGGTGGACGAAAATCTATGGGGAGCCCATATAGTTTTCGTCCAAGGATTTCCATATGGGGGTCCATATGTTGCTTAGGGACTAAGCAAGGGAAATTAGGGTTTCCAGTTGGAAAACCCTAGCAGCTCAACTATATAAGGAACCCCTAGGTCACAGTTTTTGGCTATGCATTCTTAGAAGAACCCTTTGGCCGAAAATTGTGAAGCTCCATAACCTTTCTCCTTCTTCCTCATTGCTAGTGGTGTTTGTGACATCCCCATTTTCACGGCCACAAAAGACCGATTTTGTTTATGCTTTATAAAAATGAGAGTACCTCTTTTAATAAAAGTGTTGCAGAATTTGTTCCCAGAAAAACATGATAAATACGTTATCAAAGCATTTCCGAAGAAATGTATTTTATTCATTTTAAAACATTTGGGATGTCATCGTCAATATAGAAACATAAGCATAAACAGAACTTACATTTATTTACACTAGTGATCCACATCTCTTTAATCTCTCAGTGTAATGTAACTTCATATCGACACCTGTGATACAAATAAGCTTGAGTGGGTCAGGTTGGGAAACCTGGTGAGTACATAGGGGTTTCAATCCCACAATGTTATATCATATATATAATTTAGAACTCACAAAATATACAATTTCCCCATATTTATAATCAACTCTTATCCCACCCCGTCAATCCTCACAATGAGACTATCCATACTCTCGGACCTTAAATTTTACCTCTTACTCCCAGATCTAATCCATGTTTTCGGATAAATAATTGTGCCCATTCCATACTATTGGATTAGGGACAAGTGTCTACGTCTAAATCCATACTCCCGGATTAATGACGGATAACTATGTCCTGTCCATACTCCCGGACTAAGGACAACTGACTATGTCTTAATCCATACCCCCAGATTAATGACATTTGACTATGTCCAATCCATACTCTCGGACTAGGGACAATGACTATGTCTAATCCATGCTCCCGGATCAATGACATATATTAAAGTTCTATTCTCTGAGTATAACTCACTCGTACTCGTAAGAAGATACTACCCAATATTCATCATAATTAATTTAGGTTTACTCTTTATCCTAAATCATCATATATAATCAGGTATGTTCTTTAAGACGTATTTCAGACAACATCAAATAACTCGCACAAAAACATATATTTAATACTTCAATCAATACTTGTATTAAAATCATGTTCATGAAAAGGGACTATGCACTCACTTGTTAAGGTGGTGATTCCGAACTCAGACAGCGCTTCGCTTCTTAAAAATAATTTCCTTCGACGAAACCTAGTATTATTACCACTAGATTTTAGTCTAATATTTACCGTGACTAATTATTAGTCTTATTATTATTATTATTATTATTATTATTATTATTATTATTATTATATAAACGTTTAAACAATATTTTCCAACCACTATGTACAGACAGGGGCCAGACATAAAAACACCGGAGGGCAGGACCATTTTGGCATATAGCACTTCTGAAATCCAACAACCCTATGCGACCCTTTAAACCAGATTCCCGGTACCACGAGTAGTTAAAAAGATATTATAACGACACTTATATAACTCATAATAATAGCTCAAATATTTATTATAAGGTCCTAATAACATTACTATAATTAAATAAAAACTATATTTAAAATAGGGTAGACGTATCTTACCTACGAGGGGGTTTGGCTAGAAGTCAGGCTCTGCAGGGGCAGAACTTCCGAGCCGAAAGCTCTGTTTCTCGGAGCTGTCGAGCGCTCCGGGGCTTTCTTCTAGCGCTAGGGGAGTTTTGGGAGGTTTAGAGAGAGAGTAGAGAGAGAAGGGTGGAGGTGCGAAAAATGAGGGTGGAAGGGTTTGTATTTATAGGGTGAAATATGGCTGAACTTGGTGCCACATATCACCATCTGGTGGCAAGCCTTGGGGAGAAAGCAATGACCAAGATTGTGCCACGTCACCAATTTTCGCACAACACACTTCCGACTTCTAAAATTCGTAACTTTCGCATACGAGCTCCGTTTTTGACGTTATTTATATCCACGCGTAGGTATTGACAAGATCTACAACTCTCCTTTTGACTCCATTGACAAATTATCGAACGATCTTAAATTTAACAGTATGAGAAGATTATACTGTTAAATAACTACGTAAAATTCATAACTTCTACATACAGACTCCGTTTTCGTATGTATTTTTATCGTTGAGCTCCTATTAATGAGATCTTCAATTCTCATTTAGGCCGCGTTGGCCAAAAACCGCTCGATCTAAAATTCGAATTTCGGGCTGTGCACTGCTAGGCCAAATCTTAGAAAAATCATAACTTCCTCATACGAAGTCAGATTTGGGTGTTCTTTTTATGCACGCTCTCGGTTTAATGTATACTACGAATTTTGTTTATATCTATAAGGCTAAAAAGTCCTCTATCGTAAATTCACTATTTACGTCACGTAGTGCCGTGCCGGTTTTGCCGTAAAACTTCGACGGGCCATAACTTCTTCGTTATAACTCGGATTTCGGCGTTCTTTATATGTATGAAACCCTTGTGACATATTCTACAACATAGTTAAGATTATTTATTCTAAATAATCTTTTGTCGAAAAATCGTTTTCGACACTTATTGTCTCTAATATGACTAACCCGAATCTGCGGGTGTTATAGTGTTTGTGACTCCATTAGAGGTGCAACAATTGAGGCACTAAGCTCTTGAAGGTCAAGATCAAGCAATCAACAAGAAAGGTATTCTTCTAACTTTTGTTTTATTCATTGAATCCAAAAAATATGCATGCTAGATAAGGGTTTTGCTTTGGAAAATTATTATGCATTTATAACTTGAGAAAAACCTAGATCCAAAGCAATTAGGGTTGCATGTGCACCATAGGAATGTTGTAATGCTCAAAACCTATCAGCTGATGGGTGTCGAATGTCACCCTTTACTATGTCACTATCTTATGTGCAAGGAAGTTACTACTATTGATCCAGTTGACCTAGAAGAGCTTCTATTTTCGGTTGGCGACTATCGAGTTTGCTTTGACAGGAAAGCATTCTGCTTGGTCACCAACTTGCGGTTCGAGGATTATTTCCATCCCAATCCCGGTTTTTGCAAAATTCAAAGAATGTGTGTTTCCATTTGTGTCGCTTTCACTTTCGGTGAGTATGATTGACCTTACACACGTGTTCAATAACTTAGTTCATCAATTAAGCAATTGAGACATGGTGAGAGTCTCCCTGTTGTATATGCTAGAGCAAGGATTTTTGGGGAAATACCCGCGACATCCATTTACTAATGAACGTATGACACTTGTCTCTAATTTACAAGAGTTTAACAGGTATACAAATTTTTACCCACATTATATCAAAATGATACTTATTAGGGAAATTGAGTAATCTCACCCTTATTAAGTGTAATTTTTTGACATATGTACCCGTGGGGAAGATTGATATGAGATTTTACTTACAAACAAATGCGTACTGTGTTTGATAAGATTGAGGACCATTTGAACCCAAATGCACCAAGAGTCGGCAGTAGACACACATATACTCTACATGGATTTGTCTATACATTTAAGGTATGCACACGATGTTTAATAAGATTTTTTAAACAACAAGTATTGTAACTTTCTTAACTGGGTAAGTTGTTTAACATCTTAATTTTATAGATTTGGATCTTAGAGACATTTCCCAACAGTTGTATAGTTGGTTCCCATATATCGGGTGTTATCCTTCAGGCAGTTGCATACCCTAGGATGAGGCGTTTGCATGCATTTGATTGTCAATGTATTCTCGATGTTACTGGTGGTTGTCGAGGCCAACAAAATTAATAACCGTAAATATTACACACTA